GTTAGGGGAACTAAGACTTGGAAGAGAACTTAGTAAATTATATGCTGCTAACAGACTGTTTAAATGTAAGAGAGAAGGTGGAATAAAGGAAGGAAGAAAATAAGGAAGGAAAGGAAGAGAGGAAGAAGAAAAGAGGGAGGGAGACTACAACCAAGTTCAAGGTACTAGTTAAATAAAAACAAACAGACCACAGTATTAAAAAACAACTTGAACTCTGTGAACCAAATCTTTTTCTTCTCATCTTTCTATGATGATACTGTGAAACAATATTTCTCCCACTTTCCATCCTATAATTTAGGAAAGGGGACTGGCAAACAACTGCCCACAGTCTAAAGCCAATCTAATGTCTGGTTTTTTATAAAGTTTTATTGGGACCCAGACATTATCATTCATTTAGATACTGTCATAGCTGCTTTCATGCTGTGACAACAGAGTCAAGTAGTGGTGATAGAGACCACAGGGCCCCCAAGCCTAAAATTCTACTATCATGCCCTCTATAGTGCAGACATCTAGAGCCCCTGATCTACAGTATGCTTTTCTCTAAGCCCTGATTCTCTACAGAAGGGAGGTGGGACAAGGACAATGAACTAAAAGCAGTCATTTGTCTCCTACTTAATGAAGGAATAAGGGGAAATATCCTGCAGGCTATTTCTAGACCATCTCACTACTTTCCACATGATTAAGTCTCAAATGCAAATTTGGCTCAATTTTAGCAATGATAAATCAGACTTATTACTGGAATAAACAGCACCCTACTTTTATGGTACTTCCTTCCAGGTACACATTCCTACTTTTATAAAAGTATGCCCACTCCTATTTGATTAGACAGAAACTATTTCCTTTCAGATAAGATGAGGGTTTCCTGTGAATTCTTTATGATCTTTCAAGCACCAGACAACTGTTTTAAGACCAGATTTCACAGGAGTGAATTAAAGCAGTCTTTATTTATAAAAGCTGATTAAGTGTGACTTTATTGGATCCAAAAAATTTCATAAACTAAAATGTTTCAAACTTTGAAGCATCATCTAATGGATGGTTCAGAGAAAAAATTTTATAAGGATAAAATTTATTTTCACTAAATAAAAATTCATTGAACTTACATTCATTTACCAGGATCAGGGGACTTTTTAATATTTGCTATTTTAAGCTTTCTGAGAAACAACTATAATCAATATATTATATATCACCCTAACAAACTTGCTATATTTTTAAAAAGAAACTATTTAGGGGAAGTTATCAGTTTCCTTCCTAGCAAATATATAAAACTATATGGACTTTCAAACAATTCTGCATAATAAAGAACAAAGCAAGTATTCATCCATCCCAAAAAAAAAAAATCGAGGGAGATTAATCAGCCTAATTCTCTTTTTTTGGCTGCACAGAATGCAAAATCCTCCCCTCTTCCTAAGGGAAGGTAAGAAGAGTGAGGAATTTTAAAACGAAACTTTACTAAAATTCAGTCTTTGATGACAAGTCACAAAATGTGACTGTCATACACACATTTTTTAAATGATCATGCTATTACCTCTTTCCCCCTACTATATAAAGGAATGATAGCATTCCACTCTTACCAACTTTATTCAACACAGTACTGGAAGTCCTAGTCATAGCAATCGGCTAAGAAAAAGAAATAAAAGGAATCCAAATTGGGAAGAAGTAAAACTGTCACTGTTTGCAGATGACATGATAATATACGTAAAAAATCCTAAAGATGCCAGAAAAAGATTACTAGAGCTCATCAATGAATTCACTAAAGATGAAGAACACAAAATTCATATACAGAAATCCATTGCATTTCTACACACTAACAAAGAACTACCAGAAAAAGAAATTAGAAAACAATTGCATTTATAATCACATCAAAAAAAATAAGATAACTCAATATAAACTTACCTAAGGAAGTAAAACACCTTTATTCAGAAAACTAAGTCGCTGATGAAAGACACTGAAGATGACACAACAGATGGAAAGATATAAAATGTTCATACGCTGGAAGAATTAATATCATAAATTCTTGATCATACAACACAAGGCAACCTACAGATTCACTACAACCCCCATCAAAATATCAATGGCATTTTCCCACATAACTAGAACAAAGAATTCTAAAATTTGTATGAAAACACAAAAGACCTCAAATAGCCAAAACAATCTTGAGGGACAAAGCTGGAGGGATCACATGCCCTGACTTCAGACTACACTACAAATCTACAGTAATCAAAACAGTATGGTACTGACACAAAAACAGACGCATAGATTAATGGAACAGAACAAAGTCCAGAAATAAACCTACATACTTATGGTCAATTAATCTATGACAAAAGAGGCAAGAATATACAATGAAGAAATGACAGTCTCTTTAATAAACTGTGCTTGGAAAATTGGACAGCTACTTGTAAAAGAATGAAATATGAACATTTTCTCACATACACAAATATAAACTCAAAATGAATTAAAGACCTAAATGAAAGCTGTGAAATCATAAAAATCCTACAAGAAAACATAGGCAGAACACTCTTTAATATAAATCACAGCAATATTTTTTGGATCTGTCTCCTAAGGTGAAGAAAACGAAAGGAAAAATAAATCAACAGGACCTAATTCAATTTAAAAGCTTATGTACAGCAAAGGAAACCACTGACAAAATGAAAAGGTAATCGACTAAATGGGAGAAAATATTTTCAAATGATATAACCAATAAGGGGTTAATATCCAAAATATACAAACAGCTCATATAACCCAATATCAAAACAAAAACAAAAACAAAACATACAAATAGCTCATACAACTCAATAAAAAAATAAAATAAAAAAGACCTAAATAGAAGGGACAGAAGATCTAAATAGACATTTCTCCAAAGAATACATACAGATGGCCAACAGGTACATGACAAGATGCTCAACACTGCTAACTATTAGAGAAATGCAAGTCAAAACTACAATAAGGTATCACCTCACAACAATCAGAATGGCCATCATCAAAAAGTCTACAAATAATAAATGCTGGAGAGGGTATGGCAAAACATGAACCTGCCTACACTGATATTTTTTGTCCTGTTGTTTTATTCTCTTTGCAGGAACTAAAAGATCCAGAAAGACATTAGTGTTGCAAGATAGGCGTTTTACTTAAGAGTAGAAAAAGTACTTCATTGTACTTTGGGAGAGGAAAAAAAAAACACTTTCCAATTTTGCCAAATAGGTCCTACCTTTTTCCTATCTGACTGGCAAGGAAAGTAAGGGCATAACAATATAAAGATAGAATTCTTAGAACAGAAAATACAGAAATTTAATTTTGAAGAGGGAAAAAAATTACATAGATTATGATCCAAGAAGTGGTTTTTTTTTTGCCTTTGGCCTTCAAGAACATGAACAGAGGCAACACTAAGTTCAAATAAACAGGATAACCATTCAAACTGATAAGGCCCAACAGATCAAAACAAAGACACTGTAACTATAAATTATGGATTAAAGTGACTATGTGAATAATAATCCTCTCATATACTATTAAATTTTGTTTTAAATGAGCAGAAATAGAGTTTTAACCGAACATATGGAAGTCAGTGAGTCTGTTATGTAAGAGTCTCCAAGGAGACTTTGTTATTCTAATAGAGCACAGTAACTGTTGAAACCAAATTAATTATGCTTGGTAATTACAGGTCTAATATGTATATTTTCCACAACAGGAGTACTGAGAAACTAATATAAATTGCTAACTTTCATTCTCACTTGGATTTCACAACTCTTGGATACAGAGTGGGAAAACAGTCAACTAGAAATTAAAAATGAAAGTTTAATGAGGCACAAAAATCCCATGTTTTACTTAGGGGGAGAAAAGGTAATAAATCCCATGGGTAGAATGCTAAAAAAAAAAAAAGCCCTAATCTTTCCTATGGTCTATAGTTTACATTCTGTCAGACTATACTTTAATTCCAATCACTATCAAGAATAATCTCATGTTATTTATGACTACAATAATACAAAGGAATACTTGCACGAGGATTTTGTCTTCTCTCTAGACTGTAATAAATACGATTAACTCTCTGAATAACATCAAATTTGGAAGACAGAAGTTTTTCTTACATTACAGCAAAGTTATATCACCACAGGCTAAATATGGCTGAGGTCATACCCAAAACCACATCCACAATAAACTTAAGCCCCTGTCTCAAGAGTTCCTGTTCAGAACTTGCCAGTTCACTGGTCCATTTAGTTTCTTTTCACCTGACTTTCCTGCTGGCTCAGTGATAAAGAATCCACCTGCTAGTGCAGGAGACCCAAGTTGGATGCTTGGGTTGGGAAGATCCCCTGGAGAAAGAAATGGCAACCCACCCCACTATTCTTGCCTGGAGAATCCCATGGACAGAGGAGCCTGGTGGGCTACAGTTCATGGTGTCGCAAAGAGTCGGACACGACTGAGCTACTAAACAACAACAATCACCGCCTGGTGTGGATTTGGGTTCCACCTCTCCTCTACAAAGCATTTTGCAGACCTCTTCCCAAAGTAGTGGCTCCCAAGCCACCCCCTGCCCTCATTGTATTTTAAAGTACCATATACACTGGCCTAATTCAATTCTGGATCTCTCCAGGGCAGTCCAACTTTGAAGATGCCTGAGATCAAGTGCTAACATAAATAAAGAAAATGAAATGCCCTGTAGTACAAAATAGTTAACATGCAATCCTACTTAAAGACAAAATTAATATTAAGGTAATTTTTAAGAGAGTCTCTCATCCCCAAAAGATCATTAACCAAAGGCAGTCTTTTTCCCAAGGTTTAATTTGTTTATACTAATTTCATCTTATAAGGAAAGTCCATTTTGAAATTATTTTTAGGGCTACGATTTTAGCTCTTAGGTAACTAACTCACTGGATCGTCATGTAATAAAATTTTTAATAGAATTCATCACCTAAACAAAATGCTGGCAAACTATACAAATATTAAAAGTTAAATAATGACTTAAAAAGTTTAACTGCATTCTCATAGTGATAATCATAAATTTTTACCTTGAGCAGGTACGTGGGAATATTGCTGAAATCCACTGGCAACTTCAAAAGGAAACGAGCTGAAAATTCACCAGTCTGTAAGAAATAAAAAAGGTTTAATAATAAGATTAAAATAAAAATATTTTATGAAGTGACAATTACAGCCAAGGCCACAAGTTCAACCTATTTGAACTGTAGGCATCTTCAATTTGGGTTTCCTAACATCAAGCAAGAAAAGAAAGTTGGAAAAGTAGGGGAAGATCAAAAAGCATTATTAAATTATTAGTTACTAAAAAATACAATTAGAATCTTTAATTTGCATTTTAAATGTGCACTAGAATTATAATGCAGTAATATTACCTTTCTGTTTTTTAACAGTATGAAAAGAATACATGAATGTGTGATTTTTTCTAATCCAAACAATAGGCACAGACCTGCCCATTCAATTCATCTGATTTTACTAAAGCATTCAGATCATTTCACTAATATTTATAACCCATGGGCTATTGACATAAATCACCATCCTTTATACTAAATCTGGAAGTAAGAACAAAGGTCAAACTTCTATCCACATATATAAAGGAGTATATCAGCAGGTATCCCAAATAAGACTCTAAACTCCTGATGATCTTAATATCATTATCATCAACTAAAATTTTTCAGCAATTCTATGAACTAGTCTCTATAGGAAAGATGTACAGAGGTTTTGTGATTTAAAACATTTAACCAAGTTAAATAAGAACTTCTATTTTTTTTTCTGAAACAGAAAACTCATGTAAAACAAAAAAGTTTCCCTCTCAATTTACAATGGCAAATCATAATTTATTGTATTTTTTATTATGGGAAAAACTAAGGAATGACATAAAAAAAAAAAGAAAAAGAACTCTGTCATGGTCTAGAAGGAGGGGTTTCTCCACCTGTGCTATGCAGACACCTCAGGGTTCTAAGAAACTTCTGCAAAGGCAACAAAGAGGGGTGTGAGCTAGTAAGGTTCTATATCTTTCAGCCTCTCTGGCAGCAAAGCCTGCAGTGCAGCTTGGGATTTCCTTATGATACCATGGGTTTTCTTACGATGTGTTGTTTGAACAAAGAACCCTCGGGATGAGCTAGAACTACTCTAAAGAGTGGTCTCTGCCTTTTTCATATTATGACCATTAAAGAGCTCCCTGAATCTCTACCTCTTCCCTCCTGACAAAACAAACTCCCTAACACATCTTTAAATATAGCAAGCATTTATAAATATTTTTTATGGATGGGTGGATGAACACACTTAAGGATGTATGCACACCTCTTATATAAGATTTCACAAGAGTCACCACTCCTCTCTACAAACACCCAAGTGACTGGCTTCAAGGTCCTGGCCCTAACTGTGACCTAAAACCTTGAAAATGCAAACAGAAATATAAACCTTGAGCTCAAAAGATAAAAATGATAGCTACCATCCACATAGTTGTGTGTTGTTTGTTTTACTGCATGCAACATTTTTTAACTAACATCAATCTCTGGCTAAGGACAGAGTACTTCTTCAACCCCACAAGCCTAATCCCATGACAGAAAAGGCAGAAAACAGAGAACCAAATAGCCAGAATCAACGCTGGGGTCCCAGAAGTCATCATGCCACCAGGAATGCCAGTAGTAAGAAATGATGCTACTCCTTAGGGCTCAGCAGCTGTGCTCTTCCTTTGATATTTGTTCCTCTTTTCAGTAAATGCTAATTCCATTCTTCCAGTCTCTCAAGCCAGAAACCTCAGAATCATCTTTGACACAGTATGGAACCCCAATCGCACAGGTTACTCACAACCAAACACTTAAGAGAACAGCTGAGAGCCACTTAAGGATCTATAAACAGCTCATCATGATGAACGGCAGGAGAAGGTCTGTGAAAGAGTCTAATAAACTTCTGTTATAGTCCCAGATTATTAGAAAGTGTGGTTTTAGTGTTCTCTGAAGCTGCTAGAGGACTAACATACCCTGTAAAGTGTGAGTACAAGAGGTCATACTTTGAAAGGGGTATGTATGGGAGAAACAGAATTATATAGGAACTTACAAGAGGGAAATATGGGGCTTTCCTGCAGACTTAGAGGGTAAAGAGTCTGCCAGCAATGCAGGAGACCTGGGTTCCATCCCTGGGTTGGGAAGATCCCCTGGAGAAGGAAATGGCAACCCATTCCAGTATTCTTGCCTGTAGAATTCCATGGAGAGAGGAGCCTGGCAGGCTACAGTCCATGGTATTGCAGAATTGGACATGACGGAGCAACTAACACGTAAGAGCATAATCCAGCCCAGTGAGATTTTGGAAAGAACAGAAAAGTCTCCCTTGAGTGATGCATACAGTGCTCAAGAGGGAGGAAGACTCATCAAAGAATACAGGTTCCCAGCAATGGTCCCCATTTTCCATTTTCTGTAAACTCTATTTTTTCCTCTTTACCCACTCACTCCCATCAGCGTGCAAACATCATTTGACAGGTCTTTCTTGACTTCATACCCTCTTTAGGTCCCATCTCATTTCTCTGTTCTACTATACAAAATTATCTTCTCTAGAGATTAGTCTATATTTGAGGTCTACATTTTCTCTTTTATCTTTCTCTCCAAAAACCTCTTAAATCAGCCCTGCCACCACATCCCTCTCCCAAAACAGCTCACGAAGGTCACCAGTGACCACACCATTGCCAAATCTAATGTCCTTTCTCAGTCTTTATCTTCTTGCTGTTCTATCAGCAGCATTCCAGCATAGCTGATCACTCTTTTCCTGGAACCTTCTCTACTTGATTTCCAAGAGCCAGTCTATCTGAGCTTTTTATTTCACTGGCCCTCCCTCTGGTCTCCCCAACCTCTTACCACTGCTGTGTACCAGCGCTTCTCCCTAAGACCTCTTTTCTTTACACTTCCCAGATGACTCCATCCAGGTTCCTGACTTTATGCTGGGATGATTCTCAAATATTTTATCTCCATCTCAAATCTTTTTCTACTTCAAGTTTCATTTATCCAGCTATGACAACAAAAACTCAAATCTTGATTTTGTACTTTCCCTTTGATATTCATTCCTCATTTCAGAGAACGGCAATTTCATTCTTTCTATCTCTCAAGCCAAAAATCTTCAGCATCACCCTTGACTCTTATGTTTCTCTCTCTTCCACATTCCAAGTGGCAGCAAATCCTGCTGACTCTACTGTCAATTTATATCCTCAGTCTGGCCACATTCCACCACCTCCATAGCCATCTGACCCAAGCCATTGTTATCTCCAGCCTGGATGACTGCAACCACACCTAAACGCTTCAGCCATTGCTCATGTGCAACTGATTCCCATCACCACAGGAAGAGAGATCCTTTCAATGTTCATCAGATTACGTTTCTCCTTGGCTCAAAAGTCTTAGATGGTAGGGATTTAGCTTCTTCATAGAGGCATCTGACAAGATAACAACTGATCAAAGATGTGAAAGAGGTGAGAAAGTAAACCATATGAAACATGGGTGGAAATATCTCAGGTAAAGAGAACAAGCATAAAAAGGCTTGATGCAGGAGTCCACCTGGATGTTCAAGAAACAGCAACAAGGTCAGTGTCTCTGGCACAAATAAGCACTCACACTGATCTCAGGTCTCCTAGAAACTTCCCCAGTGTGCACCACTGCTAAACCCCTGGAGGTTGTGCAAGAATCACGCATAAAATGAGCGAACATTAAATGCCTACTAGATAAACTCCCTACCAATCAATAAATAGCCATTTCTACCTAGCCATTTCTAGCCTAAAAATGTCAACCTGTAGGTTAAAATGTTAAAGTTAACAAACTCCAACCTTTTAGTCTGTTAGACTCAATGGCTCTTATAGTATTTTTGAAAACAACAACAAAAGAAGTGAAATGTGCAATTTAAAAAATTAAAAACTCTCTACATATAAGGTAATCGGAAGATAGTCACATATTTAGCCCTTGGACTCATTTGAACTGCCAGTTATTTTAGTCCATGGGCTGCATTTTAGCTCTTTTGCCCTATTTTAGCTTGCACAATGTATTTTTATTCTACTGGCTATTTTTGACCAACATTCTTTTAAAAATGCTCAGACGATCCCTATTTTATCCCTTCTCAAAATGTTGATCCTAGAACTAATATAAATTTATGTTTGGTGGCAAAAGACTGACTTATACAGCTAAATTCATAATAAAAGAAATGTTAATCTCAGGATTAATATTAATTGGTTTATCAGAAATGGGCTGATTTAAATAACTAAATTAATAATAAAAAAGCTTAAGAGTGTGAAAAGAATTTGAACTTTTTGGAAACCATAAAAAGTGCTTTATGATCTCTAACATTCAAGCCTACTATACATTCTTTATTTTGCCTTTGAGAGAACAAAGAAAATTTTGCACTTGTTTCTAATAGCGTTAGAAACGTTGGAGACTAAGATTCTAGAATTCAGTTTTCAGTTGCCACGGATTTTCCTTACAATCTGTAAGTGAACCCTTTTTTGTGAAACTGAATAAACAGTGATTGAAAACATATCTTAATGTAAAATTTGAGCCCTAAACATTACATGAGGAGCATATCACAAGTGAAAACTCCTCCTCACATTCGACCTCAGACAGTGACTCTTACTGTGTTTTTATATTTGAAGTTCCAACAGTTCTTCAAGCAATTTACAGCCACTCTGCGGCAACATCAAAGACTGCTTCCATAGCAATCTTTCCTGTAAGCCGAAATGGAGACATTTAGATGCAGCCAAGTCAACAGAATCATCTGATTTCCTTTCTGTCAATCCTTGGTCAAATCTTCTCTTTGATAGACGCAGAAGATGATCTGACCTACGACCGTTAAAATGTCAGCCGTTCTGCCAACTGCTTTAATGGCAATTTCCCCAGCATTAGCAATAAATACGCACATCCTCCCTTTTCTTCAAGTTATAGTACATTGGCAAGTAAGTTAAACTAACAACGCTGAGTTTTGGCAGTTTATTAGGTTTAAGCTTTTCTTCTGGTAACAGCAGCTGTGTCGTAGTTCTCTTTTCCTTTCAGAAGTGGCAGGTAGACATCTTGTGCAGAATGGATTCCAAAACATGGTTGCTCTGCAAAGTGAAATTGTACTTCCTTTCTTAGAGACAGTC